AACCTAACGTAACAATTCTAAAACTTAACCTATCCATTCGATTCTAACCTAACCTAACCTAACTATTCTAACGTAACCAAACCTTATGGTTCTAACTAACCTAACCATTTTAACCTACAAGTAAACTAACCTAACTCAGACCTAATCAAACCTAAAATAACTATTCTAACCTAACTTAACCTAATGTTTAGATAGAGAGAGAGGGAGAGAAGGAGAGAGAGAGAGAGACAGGAAGAGAGAATGACAGGGAGATGAAAAATAGATATATATACATATACATAGAGAGAGAAAGAGAAGAGAGAGTGAGAGGGGGAGTCGAGAGTAGAAGAGAGATAAAACAAAAAAAGATGCGAGAAGGTTGAGAGAGAATAAGAGAGAAGAGGAGGAGAGAGGAAAGAGTGGGTGGGGGGGGGGGAGAAAAGAAGTGAGAGAGATGACTAGAGTTAAGCCATCTATGCGTAAAGGCCAACCTCTGCAATACTTTATTCACGGATCACATAACTACGCATGTATAGAAATATGAACTCATACTTGGTGATGTTTATTAGGTATAATTCATTTCGGGTTAATCTGAATGCTATCTACCCACATTTGATCAGATGAGCGAGAGAAAGCATATTTTGTTGTTTCAACTCGAAGGTGGCTCTTAGAACTTCCTAGAAGGGAAAATAAACAAAAAGTCTGCGAGCTTACTCCTAATATATATCAAATATATGCATAGATAGATTTATTTTACCTATTATTATTATTGGTATTATTATTATTATTATCATTATATATGTATATATATATGTATTTGCGGGGCTTCAATAATGTTCATATCTTGGTATGGTGCTTATTAATTCTAAGATATTTTACTATCATTTTATTGCTAAAAATAACGGTAATATTAATTGTAGAAAAGAAAGACCAGTACTGGGGGCAGTCCAAACTTACAATAAGAACTATCTATCGTTATTCTTATCTTTGTTAAATCCCCGGGACAGAGATGACGTGAGGTCCCGCTTCCTACTTAACACTCTCCATTCCCTCTTAGCATGGTCTGTCTTGATGTTGGGAGGTTTTACCACATTAACCGTTTCCCATACATTACAATATTTCCAAGACATCTTTCATCGCGTTTCAGCCACGTGCTTAGCTTGGATGCGAAAGACTTCCATGATTTTTTGGTTATGAATCCACTTCGTACTGGCCTTGACATATGTATATGTCACTTATCATGCACGGATAATGTAACCATTCCACTATTTTCTTATAGAGACTGTAACTACTTAAATGATATGGAGCAGTTACTTTTCACTTAATAGGACTTTGATCACGACAGTCCGGTGATACCTCCTTGTTTATTCTTTATCATTAATTTTCATTCAAGAATATATCAAATGCACCCGGAATAAAAAAAACATGTGATGGAATAGGCAATGAAGCACTTATATTCCACAACTTTAATAATATGAACAATGATATAGTTCACTATTTACACTGATACAGCTATGCGACGCTATTATTGAGTGAGCGAAATCGAGCTGTTCCCCTGCCCTTATATGCGAGTTTTATGCTGGATTGTGTAGTTTTATTAGCCTCTCATAGTCCCTTAAACTTCATGCTTGTTCATGCCTCATAGATAAAATAAATGAATGTGTGTGTGTATGACACACACACATATATATATGTGGGTGGGTGTTAAGGATAAAACATATATGTATATATATATAATACATATATGTATATATATATACATTATGTATGTATATATATTCAATATCACTACCCATGCGTGCTATTAATAATAAAATATGTAACCAAGGTATGATTCTGAATATCACACTAAATGTATCGTTCAATATTATAAAAGTAGTGGAAGGTGCCCTGGGACTTTGTCTCTTTGTCATGGAGGACTATGGTATATTTGTCTCTGAGTCCCTGTGACAATGTGTGTGTTTGTGTGTGTGCTGTGTGTATATAGAGATAGATAGGTAGTTTTATAGATAGATGTGTGTTGTATTCCGGTTATCGATATTGCTTTAATAGGCCACATTCCTGTTGTCAGTGTTAGTAATACTATCCATTTTGTCGGGAGTTCCATCTTTGATTTTACTGCTTCTCTGTTATAAGTATTCTGTTTATCATTCATAGCAAAATTATCTTGTTCTATTTCCCATTCACAGGACAACATTGAGTATTATCCCTGACTAGCACGGGAGTCAGTATCAAAGATGTATTTGGGAATACGGGAAGTACCATCTCTCTCTCTCTCTCTTCTCTCTCCTCTCTCTCTGTCTTTCTATCTATCTATGTCCCTCTGTCTTTCTCTTTATCTATCTATGTCTCTCTGTGTTTCATTCTCTCCCTCTCTCTCTCTCCTTCTCTTCCCCCCCCCCTGTCTCTCTCTCTCTATCTCTCTCTAGTAGTAGACAAAATATAGATATAGTATATACACACACACCACACACATACACACACACACACCACACACACCATAAATATATATATATATATATATATATATATATATATATATATATATATATATTAAGACAAAATATAGATTGGTAGATGAGATAAGATCGTAACATAAATAGAGATAGTAATCAAGCAAAGATAGTGAGGATAAAATACAAAGATAGATAACGTATATAAAGATAGTAGATAGTAGATAAAGATAGCGGATAGTAGATAAAATATAAAGCTAAAGCGATAAGAATAGGGTAAAATAGATAAAGATAATGTAAATCGTCGATAAAGATGAAGTAGATAAAAGATAAAGATAGAGACAGTAGACAAAAGATAGAG